ACGTTTTGTATGGAAACTTTTGTACCAGCATAAATCTTCTGAAATAGTTTGAGAGACTTGCAAGTACACCATTTTAATAAACTTTAAACACACACCCTACATAAAATTTGTAGCTATCCTTTGAATTGATTGCCTTCCAAAGTAGACTACTCTCCTCACATCAAGCCACCCTGCACTTAAAGGAACAAGGAACAAAGTCAGTTTTGACCAGCCTTAGTCCCTGCCTGTCTGTGGAATCAACTAAGAGCTGCTAGTTCAAGTACTGTATGGCAGTGCATGCGTATAGTCTTATAAATGCAGGAGATTACTTTACCCAGAGTCTGGGACTGTGATATTATTGTTACAATCAACAAAATGTAGTACTGTGACCTGAATGCCTTTCTGTTACTTACTTTATCACAAAAATACTATTTCCAAAGTAGAAATGCAAATAATTGACAATACCTTTTTTTAGAGATACTCTAGGTAGCTGATATGCTCATATGTAAATTGGGCACGCTTGAGATACTTGTAATAACTTTGGGTGTTTCACCTGTATCAGGCAACTTTATATAATTTTCTTCTATATTAAGCATGCAGATCAAAACCTAGAGATAATCACATTTTGTTTTGCAACTGACTTAATAAACTTGCAGTTTGCAATTAGCATTTCAGTGAATGAAATTATCTATCATATACCAGCTCCAATCAGTATGTTGAATGAGGCATCAAGGTTAGCAGTATACAGCTAAACGTGGTGATGATCTCAACCTCTCTCAGATACATCTTCCCTAACAATGCTTTGAACACATGACAATGAACAATTAGGTGTCCCTAAAGCTATAGTAGCCGCACATTTGTTTCCATGCATGGAAACACAGTATATGTGATGAGGCTGTCCAAAAATAAACTGCATATTGTAGTAATAGTTTCTAGCTATAGTAATTGTCACCAGGAGGCAATGTTAGGGGTGAAGACACATGACAGAATAACAGTAGAATAATTTAGCCTAGATTTTACTCCACAATAAATTTATTTCATATT